ACCACTTCATGGCAATGTTTCCACTTAACTATAAACGAGTTTCTGACTAAGCTTGGACGTCTGTTTTCTGTAATTTAAATGAGTCAAAATAAAATCACAACATTTCAACATCGATGAATTGGTGTAATTTTCCTAAGTCATTAATGAATTTTTATCACAAAAATTATTAACTTAATATTAAAGGATTTTTTTTTTTGTTCTTTCAATTGGAAATTTATGTTTGCCCGATTTACTTTTGATCGTGAGAAATCATCGATTAAAGTCATTGGTTACATTTCTATACCTGCATTTATCGACTCTCTTCAATGACTTTCTCTATTGATACCCACGGCTATGCATACAACTTTCATGCTGTTTGCGCTGCATCTGTCGTCCAAATCGTTAAATATAAAAAAAAAATATATTTTTGTAGCTGAGTTTATTAATGAAAGAGAAAGTCTTCTTCATCGACCAATGTAGATAGGCCCTACACAGCAAAAAAATAATTTTGATATCACGTGGATGCACTACAATCATGTCGAAAATATGGTGTAATATTACTTGCTCAAAAGGACAAAATTATCATTAATACAATGCATGAACTGACATTACGCTGCGTTTACTGCATTTGTTTATTTATGTGGTCATAAAAATTACATGAAATTTTCGACATGATTGTAGTGCATCCACTTTGATGTGATATCAAAATTATTTTTTTGCTGTGTATTTCCAGCTCAATATCGATTTGATGACCTACTGCAAACATATTAACTAAGCATGCTTTACAATCAAATTGATTTAAAGTTGAAATTTAGATATTAAAATACAAGTGGATTATAATGCACAGTGAGTGAACTTTTTTGCTTCTAAATGCATTCCACAACTTGTTTGATACATGAAAGGTGTCGTTTGGAATCGAAAGCTTATTCTAACATTTATACAAAAGGAATATATTTGAATTAAGAAAAAAAAAGTTTGTGGAAGTAAAAAGTTATAATCTATTTTACGATGAAAAAAATCGAAGTCGCCCATTGCTACCTTGTTTTGTTTTGTGAATGACAGTTGAAGCAAATGCTCGTTCATTCAGTTTTCGCTAAGAGAAAGCAGAGACAACTGGCTTTTTTTAGATATAACGTGTTCTTGTTTTCTCGCGACCGTGCCAAAACGAACACATTCTGAGAGACACGGCTGACTGTCAAAATACAAGAAAAAAGATTCCCTATTGTGAAAATGCTCGGGTTTGTTTACGTCCGCTCGGCATATGTAAACTTTAAAACGACCAATCAGGAGCTGGTTCGCGTTTGACAGAAAAGTGTTTCGTTTTCGCCCCCCTATTGTCTTAGAGTTTTTGTTTCGAATTGGTGCAAAGTGCAGTTTAATGTGTGACCATTCAAGATTGCTGAACTCATTTTAAAACTTGATTCAAAACATTGAATCATGGAGACCTGTTTCGTTCACTGTACAATGCCTTTGTGAAGGCTTTCCCGGACAAGAAAAAGCAACAATACCAGGCTGATGCCGTTGGATTTTGGAATGAATGGAAGGATAAGGATAACGAGGTACTTGAATCTAAAGTTAAAGATAAAATTAAAGAATTAGAGGGACTTTTGCTGAAAAAGCAGGGTAAGCTGCTCCAGTTCTGGGGAAAATCTCTAAGCGCAGCTAAAGAATCCGTCGTGACACCAGTTCTGTACCAAAACCCGCTTCCTCAACAAAGGAACCGGATGACACCACACAAGCTTCAACATCGAGTGCTATGAAACGCCCTGCACCAGCCCAGGAAAACCTCAAGGCGCAGCTCAACGATGTGAATTCCCAAGTTATGTTTTTGTCTGACAGAAAATCTTCTGGATTGTTGACGGATGATGAGCATGAGAAACTTGAAAATCTGAAGAATAAAAAAATGAAACTGGAAAAGGCTATAAAACTGAAAGCAAACGTACAAGAACGACAGCAGAAACACCGAGATAAAACGAAGCAAGCAAAGTTGCAGTTGATCAAAGACATCCCTGAAGCAGGTAAATATTCTTAAAATTATTTCTTTCGTTTGCATGATAGGTCAAAAAATGCTAAATAAAAAACAAAATAATATAAATCCAGGAAATTATTTTTCGGTTCGGAGTTCACCAGGACGTCCACGTGTAGAAGAGGAGCAGCCAGATTTGCTTAAAGCTATATGTGACATAGCATTGGATGGATCCGCTGCACACGACAGACGTCATGACAAAAGCGTTAGGAGTGTCAAGACTCTCAACGAGCTGACTGTCGCACTACAAACGAAAGGTTTCAGTATCAAACGATCAGCAACATATCTACGGCTGATTCCAAAACGAGCTGACTCAAGTGAAGGTAAGCGCCATATCTCTACTGTGCCTGTAAAACTGCTACATGCTAGCAACGCAAAGCATCATGAGCACCCAGATGGCCGCTTCTGCACAGCATCGATCAGAGCACTGGAAGAACTTGCTTCAATTCTCGGCCCCAACGAAACTGGTTTTATCAGTCAGGATGACAAAGCAAGGGTGGCTATTGGTTTAGCGGCTGCCAATAAACAGTCTCCAATGCTTATGCATGTGGAATACAAGATAACACTCCCTGATCATGACTGGGTGGTAGCGAATAAGCACAAGCTTATTCCTTCCGTCTACGCAGGAATTGATATAAAACCAAATGGTCTAGGAAAACCTGAAGCTGTAGGATATTCTGGACCCACCTATATTGCCATACGATCCGGCAAGCATTCGTCATCCACAGCATACTCACATGCTTTAGATTTTGGACGTCTGAGCTCTCTTGAACCATTTGAAAACATTTTGAAATTTGATGGTTTGATCAAACCTGTTCTAATTTTCATCGTCGACGGTGGGCCCGATAAAAATCCGCGGTACCAAAAAGTCATCACTTCTAAAGTCATCAAGCGGGTATAAGCTGATTCCATATGATCTATATTGTACTTCTGTGAAAAGTATGTTGAACGGCCGAATTTTTTCTACCTGTGGACTGTATTTTGCTTCAGTAGTAATGCTTCGTGAACACAGGAAAATCCATAAGAAAAGCTCCACGTTGCAGTCAACTGTAACTAAAATTCGGCCCGTTAGAGTTGCTGCAAAACGTCAACGTGAATGCATGGCTATTGTAGCCCGTGGAGAAAATATGGACTGTTAGTGGATTGATGAAGAAGAACTGGATCTCAGTGGTTTTCCTGAAACATCGTCATTGCTCGCTGATTCTACCGAAGAACCGAGTAGTGACATCCTTGTGGTTTCTATCAAAGACCATCTGCAGAATCCATGGGCTGACGAGTAGTGAGAGTTTGCAGATATCTTGTTAAGTTTGTTTTATCTATGTATTTGATTTTTTTATTTCAATTACCTCAAAACGCATTGAATTTGAACTTTATGGAGGCATCACATGAAATAAGATTGAAGAAATATAAAATCAAAGTTGCCTTGGTCTGAGTTTCGTTTAATTAAAAGCAATAAATGCACAGAAAAACCGACAAATTAAAATATCATTTTGTTTGATTCAACATACGATTTTTTTACAGCCTTCGTACAAAGAAGGGGAGGGGGGGTATTGATTGTGTGACGTAACAGTATGGAAGGAGGTTGGAAAAAATGTGACAATCTGTGACATGGGGGGAGGGGGGGTCAATTTTGGACGATTTTCGCGTGACGTAATTAATGGACGCTCCCTAAAAAAGTGGATCCGGATTCTTCAGTTAAGGTATTGGGGACACATTATAAGAAGACCTGAGAATCATTTGCTCAAGCTGGCTGCGGAGTATAGATTACCACACAAAACGAGAGGTAGACCTGCTTTTACTTGGTGGGATACGATTTCTCAGAGTATGTGGAGATTTGAGAACATACCAGTTGAGGAATGGTACGAATTTACAGACGACAAAGAAAAACTGGATACGAAACTCAAAGAAATATACAATTTGCCCGAATCTGAAAGATGACGAATGAGGATACTCTCTATCTAACCACCAGCATATAAAACTCAACAGCATATTCACTATCTTTCGGAGAGTGCATCGCTAAGATTTTGGATCACAGCTCTTTCTGCATGATGGGTTTAACATTTTCACTCCACAGTGTTCGGAGAGCTCAATCATGAATTAAAAAATCAGCTGATCAAAGGCGTCTCTCAAAACGGTCTATTCAGATTTTGGCGGCTGGGGTTGCCTGCCATCAATGAAAATCTTTATTTTCCCCCCGGATTTTCCACCCATTTTTGGAAGGGGGATAGCTTAAATTTAATTTGTAATGGCCTTATCTTTTGAATTTATCATTCTACACTGGCTTTGGAGTTGAAAAATATTTCAAAATTATACCTTTTCAGGCTACTGAAGTGCCAACAACGGAACAATACTTTATATATAAGCTAAAGTGACCTCTATCAATCATTATAACTTGACCTATGACAAGAATTCAATAAGCTTTTGCTAAAAAAAAAACAGTTATTCAAGCTCATAATTCCACTTAATTTGGTGTGGATATTCTAAGCTGCTTATGTTTCCAGTTGTTTCACCATGACTCCAAAGAATTAAGCAATATATATTTTCCCACCGGAATTATTTTTCCCCAAGCTCATAGAATAAACCCCACCTACCGTGGCACAGGATCCAATTCTGCACATAGAAGCCCTAGCATTTACGACCAGTACCTACCCCATCACGTAAATAGTAATAAAAATAAATAATGTTCCATTCTTATAAACGGGATAGGTTGGAATACCAACCAAACTGGAACCATAAACCACCCATTAACCCCGGACACCAACCCAGGAGCAGCGGATGATGAGGTCGGTGGTTGGTGACAATAAACAACAACTTTTCACTTCGATTCCATAATGTCTTATTTACTTTCGGTTCATGCCTTCAGAGAGCGAGCTTTTTCGGAACGAACCAACAACAGCGGATCATGAATACGCAAATGAGACTCCCACGGGAAGCCCGCAAAATTCACCGGAATAGCATTACCATGAATTAATGATAATTAAATCTATTAGCATACCTTTGACTTTCCTCGCCCGGTGCCACCTGCTTCCGTTTCGAGGCGCGTGAAAGCTTCCAATTTGGGTTTATTGATTGATGGTATTCCGAGAGTCGGCAGTGAAGCAACAACAACTTGGAATTTATTGGATTTTTCTCCACTTCACTCACACTGACGATGACGAGGATTAAAACGACGGCAAAATTCCAAAATAAACAACAAACCAACCTTTGAGTAGCAGCGAGCACTCGCGGGGGTGGTTTGTGGTTTGCTGTTTTTTTTTCCTTCGAGCAGGAACCTTTCAAATCACTCGATTTATGGTGTGAATACACACAGGGCACAAAGCACAGAGCACAGCACGAAACACTCGAAAATTTCAAATTCTAATTTTTCACACCAAGAGAGCATCAATTGAAATAGATCACCGAGTGTGGGTCGTTCCTTTTTTTGCAGCTTCACTGCTCGGAGTTGAGAGGCAAATATTTGATTCACATAAATTTTCGGTGAAAACAGGAGCTTTTCCTACGGTATCGGACGTTGAATAATGTTTGTTTGCACGGTTTTGGAATATTTTATCCGGATTCACTCGGTTGGGGCTATCCTGGTGGCACAGCGGTACGGATCAGGGTCACAAACGACCCGCAGAGGACCAATAATTGTATGATTAATTTGATACTCGCCAACAGCGACGACGACTATGACGAAGATTACTGATGTCCTTTGGCTCGACGTTGCAGCATCCACGTGCGACTCACTCTTGCTGCATAAATTATTCAGGTCGTGTTATCCGCTAGTCTGGATGCTACTGCTGCTGCTGCTGCTGGTTTTTATGAAGCTTGATAGACACGGAGCCAGGTATCGCTCACTTTTCAAGTTGTCACAGAAATTTATCACTACCAAGAGACACGTTTTACCTTCTAATTATTTTTATCGTGCAGAACTTGAGAACATCACCATTACAATTAATCACCGACAAAAAAAAAACTCACTTGATATACTTTGCCGGTAGTAGATAGACCCCGGCCAAGTGTTTGCTTTTAATCAACTGTAGATTTTACCATCCTAGGACAACCACTCGATCTTGTATCTTTCTACTTCTCCTTGTCCGCACATCAAACAACACGGGAGTCAAAAGCTCTCAGGAGATAAGCAAGCAGAAAAATATTCTTTTTATTCTTTAGCTTTCCGCTTCTCCACGGATGTTCCGAAGTCAGCGATTCGTGTTCCACTTATAACCTACCCCACTAGGTTCCCGTCACGCTTCCGCCCACCGAAGTCAACACTCCAAGTAAGCACATTATGATTGATGAAAAGCACTCTGCTAAAATAATTTTCACCTCTTTTACACGCTCCTTTTCGTCAATCTTCCTACAGGCATTAAGCGAGGGACGTCGAGCACCTTCTTCGCCTTTAAATTCAGAAATATCTCACAAGACGGCTTTCATCTAAGCTACCTTCACACTCGGCTGTAGCATATTCTTCATCCTAAACACACCCTGCATAAGCATAAGGATTTCTTTACTTTCTTGAAGCTGTTTACTCTTGACTTATCTCCGGGAAATGAACTACACAAAGCATATACACATTTCGCCAAAACTGGACAACACTGAGATCTTTTCCCGAAATCCAGCTAATCCGGTCGTGCTCGACATCTGACCATCACCGTAGTCACTAATGGTATCGCATTCCCAGCGAAAATTTTACCTTTTGTTATGAGTCAACACTCACTCCATTCATCCCATTCAGGACACACGAAAAAAAAAGCCAACTTGCATTAGCCCCAAACAATTGCTTGCGATCCAATTTCTACCAGGAATCAACTTCCGGAAAATGCGAAACGACGTAAACACGCCAGCCAGGATAGAACACGACTCGCACGGCTCGAGCGGCACGACTATCTGATTTCGGTCGATTCCGCTGCCAAACACGCTACTCCCTAATGTACTGCGATGGAGTTTCCGAACTTACCCCGAGAGCGTCAGCAGTTCGCTCCCCCTATAATCTAGTACTGCACTCACGTGAGTCGTAACTCCCACCGTCTGCTGGTGTTGGTGGCACTTGCCAAGTTTCACTACTACCACTGCCGGAGCTTCAGCTGATTGTCCTCGCTGCTCTCAGCTCAGCACTCTCTCACTCTCGGCACGGGAAAAACTCCGGCCGAATACAAACACCCAGAAGTGCAAATTCTTACCCACCCTCAACACGAAACTTCCTGCTCACCATAACCATGCACAACAAAAGCATTCAATATTCATCAGTCCACCGAGTGTTTTCTATGCACACGTACCTTCACTTTTCCGTACAATCCAATAAATTCCACCTCACTCGCTTCGTCGAATTATACGGTGTAACAAGCTAATTGAAACTACTTCCTGGTCCTCACCAGAACACAGCTGAATGCAAAAATCTAGCTCCCTTTTATTTTCCAACACACTCCCCACGTCGACGGAATTCTAAAACCATGACAATTTTCCCACGAGTTTTCCCTCCACACATACGCACCCATGATCGACCAAGTTTCGGAGAGCCTTCCTTTCCGCCCCAAATTCGCTCACCGAAATCTATTCTCCCGTTCTCACTATTCAGCACCAGAGCAGGATCGCTGCCACTCACCGCTGAATAGGCTACCATACCGATGTTCTGCTGCTGCTACTCATTCGGTCGGGGGTTGCTGTCTGTCTGTTTGCCTACATCCCTCACCTCACCTACTCCTGCTTCTCACCAAGTTCCTTCGATTGATGCGATACGAATAACGACATTCTTCTGTTTTCCCATGCAGAAGGGGCTGGTGTAAGTATCTACCTACTGTACATGAGCACGCAAGGGATTCTCCCCGGAAGTGCATCCTCGCGAAGTGATAGAGAGCGAGAAAAAAAAAAACGACACGCAAATACGGCATCGTCCGGTGACTGCCATAAATGGGATGAAGGAAGGTAAGATCTGTGTGATGGGTGTACGATTGGAGAGGTTCGTAGGTTCACGGTGCGGTTGGGGGGTCGGAAGGAGATAATTAACGATAAAAGGAAGGTGCAATTTTGCGAAGCTGTGAGCGGCTTTCGCGGGATGATGAAAACAAACATCTTTGCCTAGTGTGGGTGAGCAATCGATACAGTTTAATATTTGCTCACGTGATTGCGGGGTCGATTTCGGTATTAAGTGTTAATCAAATAGGCGAGTTAGTTTAAAGCAGCACCAGCAGCATTTCACCGCAAATAGTCGGGATCGGGAATAATGCATACGACAAATTATACGCCAACTCGACAACTGGTTGGCAGCTCTTCTTAAATTTAAATGGAACTGTGGATGTAGCGTATGAAGGTATACACAGCTGTCGATTGTCGCAAATAAATAATAAAAATAAATTCCTAAAAAGTACCCTTCTGGTGTAATTTTTACGCCATTTAAGTAAGTATATTTAAGACTGTGTTTAATTCATCTTTGTGTTGTAAAGCCTGACTAAAAGTAAATTGGTACGCCCCTTGCGCGCCGCTAGCACGCATCTAGTTTTGAGAATCGAAAATCTTTGACTAAGTGGTTTGTTTACACTTAAATAGAGAACAACTGGTGCAAGTTTGATCAAAGTAGTCGATCGCGTTCAGAAATAACGTCAAATAGAACTCAAAAGAAAAAAAAATATTGTGCACAAACACCTGGAAAATCCGGAGTGGTCCTGTTCCAAGCTGGCTAAAGTGCTGAAGATTCCGAAAACAACAGTTTGTAGAGTGCTCAAAACCTACAAGGGAACTCTGAGTGTGGAAAGGAATCAGCGGACCTACGAAAAAACTGGAACCAGGGATCGTCAGCTGTGCGGCGAAGTGTTGAGGTGCGTGAAGGCCAACCCCGGTCTTTCGATCCGAGATGTGGCCAGAAGGTACAACGCCAACTTTCAAACGATGTGGAACATATTTGCCAGGGAGGGATACAAGTCGTACAAAGCCAGTAAACATCCGAACCGGCACATGAAGCAGAATTCCGTGGCCAAAAAGCGTGCAAGGCTATTGTACGACCGTGTTTTGACGAAACACAAGGGCTGCACTTTGATCGATGACGAAACATTTATTTATTGTTCCAATGATTCATCTGACATATGGTTGTTGGTATGGTTGAATTAAAAAAGTATAACTAAAACAAAAACAGAACACGTTCTAATTCAGGACAGTCTTTTAATAAAAACAGTTAACGACACATTAAAGTCAAACAATGCATAGACGTCATGCCGATTACGAGCTGCGAGATGTACAAAATTACGCTGTCTAATCACTCTCTCAGGTGCGTAAAAGAAAAGCTGCCGAAGTAATTCGGGGGAATCAATCTCGCTGGTAATGATCTTAGCAGCAAACACAGCTTGAGCGTTCCGTCTTCTTTGTTCCATGGTTTCAATTCCAAGCAAACTTTCTCTGTACACTTTCAAATCTGGCTATCCAGCATGCTTGGTATGGGCACCAGACGACAGCATTATACTCTAAGATTGAACGTACTAAGAACCAGTGTTGGCTAAAATCAAGATCAGAAAATCAAAATCAGCAATCTTTCAAGATCAAGATCACCTAAAATCACACGCACCAATTTCACAAGCTATCATCACCACGAAAATCACACGTGATTTTCGACCAATATCAGCCGTGATTTTCGATTCTCAAAATCAACCAGCATCAATATCAACCAAGATCAAAATCATCGAAAATCATAGGATTAGAAGATATGTGATATTCTAGAGTTTGGGCAATTCCGAAATTCGAGTTAACATTCCGGATGAAATTAAAATTGTGGATTTCAACCCTAGATGGCTCCCACAAATCCAAGATGGTTAACCAAAATCCAATATGGCGGCCCTGGACAAGGAATATGCATCTAAACCCATGCAATATGGGTATCTGCGGAATGGGCTCGATGATGGGAAGTGAAAAATTAAGATCCCATTTTAGAATCTAATACATATGGCGGACCAAAATCCAATATGGCGTTCCCCCGACAGGAAATATTCATCTAAACCCATACAATATGGGTATCTACGGAATGGGCTCGATGAGTGGAAGTGGAAAATTGACATCCGCCGCCATTTTGGAATTCAAGATGGTGGACCAAAATTCAATATGGCGGCCTCTGGATAGGGAATATGCATCTAAATCCATGCAATGTGGGTATCTGCGGAATAGGCTTAATATGTGAAAGTGGAAAATTGACATCCGCCGCCATTTTGGAATTCAAGATGGCGGACCAAAATCCAATATGGCGGACCAAAATCCAATATGGCGGCCCTGGACAAGGAATATGCATCTAAATCCATGCAATATGGGTATCTGCGGAATGGGCTCGATGAGTGGAAGTGGAAAATTAACATCCGCCATTATTTTGGAATCCAATACATATGGCGGACCAAAATCCAATATGGCGTTCCCCCGACAGGAAATATTCATCTAAACCCATGCAATATGGGTATCTACGGAATGGGCTCGATGAGTGGAAGTGGAAAATTGACATCCGCCGCCATTTTGGAATTCAAGATGGTGGACCAAAATTCAATATGGCGGCCTCTGGATAGGGAATATGCATCTAAATCCATGCAATATGGGTATCTGCGGAATAGGCTTAATAAGTGGAAGTGGAAAATTGACATCCGCCGCCATTTTGGAATTCAAGATAGCGGACCAAAATCCAATATGGCGGACCAAAATCCAATATGGCGTTCCCCCGACAGGAAATATTCATCTAAACCCATACAATATGGGTATCTACGGAATGGGCTCGATGAGTGGAAGTGGAAAATTGACATCCGCTGCCATTTTTTAATTCAAGATGGTGGACCAAAATTCAATATGCCGGCCTCTGGATAGGGAATATGCATCTAAATCCATGCAATATGGGTATCTGCAGAATGGGCTCGATGAGTGGAAGTGGAAAATTGACATCCGCTGCCATTTTTAAATCCAAGATGGCGGACCAAAATCCAATATGGCGGCCTTTGGACAGGGAATATGCATCTAAATCCATGCAATATGGGTATCTGCGGAATGGGCTCGATGAGTGGAAGTGGAAAATTAACATCCGCCATTATTTTGGAATCCAATACATATGGCGGACCAAAATCCAATATGGCGTTCCCCCGACAGGAAATATTCATCTAAACCCATGCAATATGGGTATCTACGGAATGGGCTCGATGAGTGGAAGTGGAAAATTGACATCCGCCGCCATTTTGGAATTCAAGATGGTGGACCAAAATTCAATATGGCGGCCTCTGGATAGGGAATATGCATCTAAATCCATGCAATATGGGTATCTGCGGAATAGGCTTAATAAGTGGAAGTGGAAAATTGACATCCGCCGCCATTTTGGAATTCAAGATAGCGGACCAAAATCCAATATGGCGGACCAAAATCCAATATGGCGTTCCCCCGACAGGAAATATTCATCTAAACCCATACAATATGGGTATCTACGGAATGGGCTCGATGAGTGGAAGTGGAAAATTGACATCCGCTGCCATTTTGGAATTCAAGATGGTGGACCAAAATTCAATATGGCGGCCTCTGGATAGGGAATATGCATCTAAACCCATGCAATATGGGTATCTGCGGAATGGGCTCGATGAATGGAAGTGGAAAATTGACATCCGCCATTATTTTGGAATCCAATACATATGGCGGACCGAAATCCAATATGGCGTTCCCCCGACAGGAAATATTCATCTAAACCCATGCAATATGGGTATCTACGGAATGGGCTCGATGAGTGGAAGTAGAAAATTGACATCCGCCGCCATTTTGGAATCAAAGATGGCGGACCAAAATCCAATATGGCGGCCTTTGGACAGGGAATATGCATCTAAATCCATGCAATATGGGTATCTGCGGAATGGGCTCGATGAGTGGAAGTGGAAAATTGACATCCGCCACCATTTTGGAATACAATACATATGG